AGCTCTCTAGCCTCACTGTAACATGTTATCAGTAAAGGTCATATCCCTCATACAAGTGACAAACCTAAATGGATTTCAGGGTTGGTTTCTATGACAGCGGATTTGTTTCTATTCTCATGTTCTCTAACGGGCATATTGTAAATTTAGAACTCCCCGCTGGACTACATACAATGATCGTCCATGGCAAAGAAGGGTGTTATCGCAAGAAAATGTGTGGATACTAGCATTCATCGTCCAAGGCGCAATGGTCCACACCGGCACGGTCTACTAGTTCGCCCGACTTTCCTTCCTTCCATTCACGGAGGAAAGCCTGTGCGACTTCTGCAGCCGCACGAGGCTCAAATTTCCTCCAGCGGGGAACGTGTGCAGCCGCGTGATCTGGCTCCGTTGACCGATCAATCCAAGCTTGGATCTCCCCTCTTGTGAATTCACACCGGAATTCGCCTTTCATCAAAAGGCACCTTGCAGCATGGTCAAATTGATGGCACAGCGCTACATCCCCCGCCCGGCCATGCAAAAGATATGCAACCAAGGCGTCGAGCGGAAACTTAGGGTTGTTCCTGTTGGTGAGATATGAGCAAGGTCAATAAATGAAGGCATATTCTGGGACATCCAAACGATACGAACACTTTCATCCCTGTTTGTTCGCTGCAGGCCAAGAGAGCCCCGGGGCCTACAAAGTGTGTGAGCCACCACCAACGCTCACCAAAACGCTTCTTCTGATGGAACGTCTTCCGTATCTTCTGCCGTTTTTTCTCATCGATAGGGGCCCCCTGGCCTTCAGAAGCGTAAATCCCCTCAAGGAGACTGTTAATGGCTTCGGTCTTCACCTTGCCCGGCTCTCTAATTCCACTACCCCGTCTGCTTTCCGTCTCCTCCAGCTCTTCGATGTACAGGAGGTAGAGTAAGGTCCGCCCGAGGCGGATCCTCATGAAATTCGCCTCTTCTTGTTTTCCCATAGCCTCAACGTACCTAAATACTTTAGCATAGTTATCCTTTCGCGGAGCGGTTTGCGACACGCGAAGCGTGACCGCGGGCTGATCCCAGAATCCTTTCATTCTCCATATCGTTGACTGGGTCGCCAAGAATTCCGGGAGATTACAATGGAGAAGTCTGTCACCTTTTCTCCGGACTACATTCAGGTCTGCATGGGATAATTCAGGGAACATTGACTCCAGAGTAGGATATCGACTTCCATGTGATCCACCAGTCCGATCTGCAGTGAAGACGCTTGACGGGGAGACCGGACATCCTTTCTGTGTCGACTCTAGCCATTTTCCGCCTCTCCGTCCTATAGACTTACCAGAAGACATTATATGGCGTCGTTTAACAACTCTGCTTGCAGGTCTGGGAGTGTTAGATGGGTTTGACACGGGGGTTGGGTAGGATACGGTCGGGCATGGGTCCGATCCGATGTCATCCCCGGGGTCGTGGACCATGAGGTCAGAATCTGCCATGTCCGTGCAGGCTTTGCCGCTCGGATCGACTGAGACTGAACGATCGGTGGCGGGCCCGGTTGCAGCGCTGGATTGTGGGCTACAGCCCTGGCTGCTGCGAACCCCCTCGGTATCGACGCAGGTTTCGGAATCAACGTTGGGGGGGCCCACCAGAAAGTCATCATTGATCCAACTCTGCCAATCGACGGGGTTGTCCGCGTCGTCAACGAGGGCCGCGTCGGAGGCAGGCCCCGCCAAGGGTGGAAGAACGGTCTCACGGCCTTCATCACTGCCTTTGTCGAGAAGACCCTGCAACGGATCGAATGACCCCGCACGTCTAGCAGAAGGACACGTGTTGTTCATCGACTTTTCCCGCTCAGCTAGATCAGTCTCCCAGCCAGGTATGTCACCACCCGGAGGGCCCGTATTTTCGCAGTCGAGAGTCATAGCAGAGGGATCATCGGGAGGACCTATTTCCGTGACGAATTAGCCAAGTGGAAAGTTGACAGTCTAAGTCTCCGGGAGGATGAAATTACCTTGCGAAGAGAAGGTTTGCAGAGGTGTTGCGTCTGGGAGTTGGAGATTCTGGTCGATATCCACGAGATTATCTTCAGGCTCATGGTCTATCTGAATACTATGCGGTAGAAGCAGTTGAACACGGCAGAGAGTCTTGCGCAACGTAGTAGGATCCAGCATCGTCAGCGCTCTCAGATTTTTCTACAAGGGAGTCAACAAGCTGGCAAATCTTCAGTGATGGATCAATCTATTTTGTAAAAGAAAACAGCTCACCTGGGGACTTTTCCGCATAGGCATGGAGAGTC